CGTTCGATGACGACAGTTTGCAGTCCTACTGCACCGTCTGCTGCTAGCAGCACCCAGGACACAAAAGCGGCGGCTGAGCTGAGTGGGCTGCATGCTTGCCGTGGTACGGCATCTGTGCGGAAAAAAGGCGCAAAACGATTGTCTGCCGTTGCTCTCACAGAAGGAGGAGCGACTGACGACATGGCTTACAGGGAATTAAAATCAACAAAGGGGGCGGGTTTGCATCAATGATAAACACACACAACTGTCACACCGAAGCCTGGCCAGTCATGAAACTGGTTTTCAAAGCCTTTGTGATGCACAGCGCGCCTTGCTGTGCTCTTCTAATCGCAAACAGCCTAGTCAGCAAACAGCACCAGCGAGCTTTTAAACGTCCAAAGGCACATTCTACCACTATTCTGCACTTGTTCAGCCTATAGTTGAACTGCTCCTTACTACTGTCCAGGCTTCATGAGCCGTGGGAGCAAGGAGTAGGCTGGGGTAGGTGCGACCACACAGTGCTGCCGGCTAGGAGAGCAGCCTGAGGCAGAAGCCTCCAGCTCATATGATATTCCAGGCAGGTCTGAATCTCCATGAGACGAAACTTAAAGAAGAAAATGACCTGGAGTCACTCCCATTTATGTCCAGGCACACCCGACCGACCTCACCGAGGTCTGCCAGAACCACCCATGTCTGCCCAGGCGCCGTGACCAACCTCACCGAGGTCGGCCAGGAGCACCCAGGAGACGACAACGATGGCTAGCAGTTGTACTGCACCGTCTGCTGCCGCGAAGGCAAGGAGCTGCTGCTGTGTAGCAATGCAGTACCGCGTCTGCTAGCAGCACCCAGGAGATGTACGGTGACGGTGAGCTGAGCGGGGTCCATGCTTGCAGTGGTATGTCGTCTGCATGGGTAACCCAGGAAAAAAGGCGAGAAACAATTGTTTGCTCTTGCTTTCACGGAGGCAGGGAAGGAGGGGGGCCTGATGACATGTACCCAAAACCACCCACGACAATGTTTTTGCCCCATCAGGCATTGGGAGCTCAACCCAGAATTCCAGTGGGCGGCGGAGACTGCGGGAACTGTGGGATAGCTACCCACAGTGCAACGCTCGAAACTCGACGCTAGCCTCGGTACTTTGGATGCACTCTGCCGAATTAATGCACTTAGTGGGGACACACAATCGACTGTATAAAATCGAGTTCTAAAAAATCGACTTCTATAAAATCAACCTAATTTCGTAGTGTAGACATACCCTTAGTAGAAAACATAAGGCGGGACAGTTTGGTTTGTGTTAGGTGATCAGGCAGCTCATGGAAGCTCAGGTGACCTTGGGAGAACAGGGATACACATTGTATTCTTTATTAATCCATTTACAAGTTAACAATAATTTTTTCCTTCCTTTTGGAAGCTTGTAGAATCCCATAGTCAAAGGCAGTGTTCCCTCTAATTTTTTACGTCCATGTGCAGAATGAATTTTGTTATGTGCACTAATATGGAGGTGATGTGTGGCAGGGGTGGGGCCAAGAGGTTCAGGGTGTGGGAGAGAAATCAGGGCTGGGGCAGAGGGGTGGGAGTGCGAGGGGGGTGAGGACTCTTGGTGGGGCCGGGGATGAGGGGCTTGGAGTGCAGGCTGCCCCAGGCCTGTGGCGGGGAGAGAGGACTCTCCCCAGCCCTCTCTTGCCGCAGCAGCTCGGGGCCAGGGGAGAGGCACTTAGAAGATCACAGCGGGGCTGGGCTGGGCCGGGGGAATGGTGCCTCTCCTTGGCTGCGGCAGCTCCGGCAGGACTGGGCTGGGCCGGGGGGAGGGACACGTCTCTCCAGACATCACAGGTCTGGCTGGGCTGGGGAAGGGGCACCTCTCCCTGGCCGTGGCAGCTCCAGTGGGGCTGGGCCAGGGGAGGGGCACTTCTCCCTGCCTGCATAGCCCTTGATAGCCTGCCACACGGCCACACAGCTTAGGGGGAACTTAGGTCAAAGGCTCCACTTTTTCTCTTATGTGCAAAACTATTTCATTTTAAATTTTTCATAAGTGCCTCAGAACGTGTGGCTAAGTGCTATTCTCCAATCTCTATGTTCTTGTGTCTGATACAAGGGTCTGTGAAGATAAGGCTGCATTGGGCAAGGTGTATGATCACCTCTTACTCACATTAATTTGTGAGATGAAGATAAAAGGCCCCTGCCTAGCTCCACATTCTTTTAGCATGGGGGTGGCCAACCTGAGCCTGAGAAGGAGCCAGAATTTACCAATGTACATTGCCAAAGAGCCACAGTAATATGTCAGCAGCCCCACATCCACTCCCTGGCCCCCAGCGCCTCTCCCCTGCCAGCATCCCCCAACAATCAGCACCTACTCCCCCCTCCCACCGCAATCAGCTGTTTCATATGCGCAGGAGGCTATGGAGGGAGTGGGGAGGAGTGAGGGCATGGCAGGCTCAGGGGCAGGGGCCTTGGGGGAAGGGGTGGAGTGGGGGCAGGGCTTGGGGCAGAGCAGGGGGTTGAGCAGTGAGCACTCCCAAGCACATTGGAAAGTTAGCATCTATAGCTCCAGCGCCAGAATCAGTGGCTACGTAAGGAGCTGCATATTAACCTCTGAAGAGTCGCATGTGGCTCCGGAGCCACGGGTTGGCCACCCCTGTTCTAACATGTGTAATGAAATAGCATGAATCCACCTCTTTCTTCCTCACTCTGCTTACGTGGGCTTAACTGAAGTTTCTCTCTTGCCAAACTGCAGCTTTTCTCTCAGCATCTGGCCAGGTGCCTACTTGTAACAGAGGATGCCTTTTAGTCTGCCAGTGGGAGTTAACCCATTTGAGGTGGGGCTAGGAACACGGAGATGATTTGTGGTTTGAGTCCTCTGCTACAGCTGGCCAAGCATGCAATAGAACAGCAAGCTAGTCTCTGAACCCAAGTTTACTCAGTTTTTCTGGTCTTCCGCAGAGGTACACTAACTATGAGATGGTGGGGGCTAGTAACTTCCATTTGAAATACATTCCTAGGCCCTATGTTAGTATAGTCTCACCATCAGACAGGTAAACAGCCAATTACCTCCTTTAGCAACAAAACAATACTAGTGTTGTGCAGTAGTGGTGTGATATACTGCAACTTACACATGTGTCAGGAGAATGTTTGGGGCTGTTGATATTCTGTGGGACTTTCAACAGGAGCCAACTCAAAGAGGACTAAAACAAGATCATTTTACACATAAACAGAGCATCTTTCTTTCTGAAGGATTTCAAAGTGCTTTAGAGAGAGCCAGCCAGGAGGCATAAGAACAGTCAATGCACCTTTGGACCCCTGGACATTCCAGGCAAAACTGTTGACATTTCTCTCTCTCTGCCCTGTGCTCATTGGCTGTTTGCTCCAACCCTACCTCTCCATCTCCCCTCTCCTCCCCTCCAGTCTCTTTAGCACAAATTCACTCCACACCTGCCCCCTCCCCTGTCGCCCTCCCTTTCAGCTGATTCCTTCCTAAGTAAATCCACCCACTCCTTCAAAATAGAAAATAAACTTGTGGAATTAACGTGGCATTTGCCACTACCCTATGTTCACTCTGTGTTCTACCTCTTCCAGCACCCTGTATCTGTCTTGTTTATTTAGTCTCTTTGTACTCTACCTTCTGTCTGTAGCCATCTGTTGCTGTTTATTGTTTTATACTTAGATTGTAAGCTCTCTGGAGCAGGGACTATCTTTTTGTTCTGTGTTTGTACAGCACCTAGCACAACATGGCCCTGGTCCACAACTGGGGCTCCTAGGCACTACAGTGACAAAAATAATAATAAAAAATGCAATCACCTCAGGGGTGAGGGAAAGGCAACACAAAGCATGGTGCATAACAGAAAAGGTTGGGGATATTAGGATGTCATGGATCCACAGAATCTATGCTATGCCCCTGCTTTTAAACAGACCTTTGGAAGAAAAGTGTGCCAGATCCCCAAGGGGATCCCACTTGTTCTTAACGGTAGGTCATGGGGTTGCAACACCTCTGAAACTGAGCCTCTCAGTGCCGGCATTCCTGCTTCACACCCATGAGCTCTGCCCACCAAGTCCAACTGAGATAGTCTCTGACCAGGAGTCTTTACACTCTTCAGGGAACAACACATCTCAGCAAGTATTGGCAGTGACACCAGGTAGCCTTTTTAAAACAGAGTAGTCAACTGGCATTAATTAGCATAGCATAATAAAGGTTAAGACATAGTCAATTCTGGACAAGCCAGTATTCCATCCAGCCAAGCTACCATGGAATCCATTTTTGGCCCTCTCCCTCTTTGTCAGTCCCACCTGAGAACTGCTGTCTCTCTCCCAAAAGCCAACTCTAATCCCAGCCATCTGACACATTTCAGTCCATTGTCCAACACCTGCAGACCCATGCTGAGTTCACATATTCCACCTGGCAGAGATTTCCATGGATACGTATCAATTGTTCAGTCCTTGGGTTTCCCATTGTCTTTGCGGTTCCTCCACTGATATGGGTCTATTTTAGCCAGTTTTTTAACAACCCATTCATTCCACTCCACACACTTACATAACACAACACCTCATGTTTCCTGCTCTGCCCCACAAGCAGCTTTTTAACGCTTCTGCAATCACTGAGTAGCAATGAAAAGTAGAGAGGGAATCCAAGGCACATAATGGAATCATAAAATACATTACAGCAAATTCCCAAAGTGCAATCACCTACAAAAAATGCATCATGGGGAGCTGTAATGTCCACGCAGAGCAGATGGGTCCAAGGTCCCATCCGAAACAGCCAGCCAAAATAAACAGCATGGGATCAATGGAAGAAGTAGACTCAATGTGGACAAAGTATAATATTTGATACCAATGAGAGATGGACCAAAATGATCTTTTCTTCCTAACTCAGCTGCATGTTTTCCCACCATATCCCTCCCTCCTTCAGAAATAAAGTGATTTTGAAATTATTTTAATTCCCTTTGTGCTGTATCATCTCACAGACTAGTCAACCCTAGAGGTACCAAGTGGCCCAGTGAACTCTTCCCTCGAGATTAGCATGCACTTACCAGTGTGAAAGAAGCAGAGATGATAAAATATGCCCTGGAAGTTCATGATGAAGTCTGCGTGTTCTCTGCTCCGTCTCCAGCCTTCAGAATTCCAGCGATCAATGCTTTTATAGTATATTCTGGTCAGTCTGCTCCTCTTCAGACCACTCCTTGTTGGAAATCAAGACCCTCACGCTGCATAACAATTACTCTTTGTTACTCCAGCACACATCCCATTCTAAAGGGAGAGGGAAAAAACTGCATCCGTTTATATTAACTTCAGTCTTGAAAAGGAAATACAAACTACAAATGCAAAATTCCTGGGACACTGGAGCAAATTATGACCTGTCATTGCTTAAGCACCACCTACTGGGTCAAATGTGTAATAACATGTTGATCATGGGTTTAGAGTGAGATTGTGAAATAAAGTGTTCAGGAACTTTTGTTTTGTTTTGAGCAGGTGTTAATATTCCTATCAAGCTTTTTCCACATGGAGATCAGGAAGTGCACATTGATGCAGTTATGCCCTTCACTCAATATACCTATCACTTATCACAGGCAAGTGGGCTTGATTCACAAAAGAACTTCTACCTGCCACTTTAGGTGCCTAAATGCCAGAAGCAGGTCCCACTGAGATTCACAAAACCCCCACTAAGCTGCCGCCAAAAGCTCTAGCTACTTAAGCTCCCTTGGTGCCTAAGTTTTTGCTTCTGTGCATGTGCACTGCTGCTTCCATCTAGGCATCCAGATGTCTAAGCCCCACTGTGATGCACAAACCAGAAGGTTGCCCTTTATTTTTTTTTTTTGTTTGCCTTATTTTGTATAGTTATAAATAGAATTCTGGCACCATTTGTTTTTAATTGTAAGTTTGTCCTGTATGTCATGTATGTTGGCCTGTGTTGAATGTGGTATGTCACATGACTACTTTTTATTATTTTTATTTTGTTGCAACAAAAGTCAAGTTTGTACCTTTAAAAAAAATATAAGTAGTACCACACTATTTTAAGATTATGGTTGGGGTATAACCATCATATTACAATTTTTTATCAAAGTTCAAAAAGGTCTCAGTTATAAATATATGTACATATATCGCTGCCTCAACGAATAATGCAATTGCAAACAAAAAGAATTTTCTTTTATTAATCACAGTTTTGTTTTTCATTTTTATTCAAAGAAAGAAAAATGTAAGGGGAAACCTCAACATTAAGGTTAAGGTAATATTAACAAAATGTTAATTTCTTGTTTGGGTTTTTATAAACTTGTTTTCACTTTTAAATATAGTGATAAAAATGTCATAGCAAAAATGTTTAAACATAACAATTTATGCATAAAGCTAACCAATTTCAACAGGTTTCCACCTTTTCAACACACTTCCACCTTTGTCTCACAAACACAACCAAGTGTCAGAAAACTTTAATACCTTCAAATTATTTGCATCGACCTGTATTTAAAATTCATTTTGGTTTAATTTTTATTCTCTTTTAAGTTATATTAAAGGGAAGTAGTGGTTGCCAACGTTTGTGCTTCTAAACAGTTAACAAAAATGAAATTGGTATCACAAGCATATCCACAGAGCCAGTTATCTCATCATAGAAGGCAATCAGGTTGGTCAGGCATGACTTGTCCTTGGTGAATCTAGGTTGACTGTTCCTGATCACCTTCCTCTCCACCAAGTGCTTCAAAATGGATTCCTTGAGGACCTGCTCCATGATTTTGCCGGATACTGAAGTGAGGCTGACCGGTCTGTAGTCTCCCAGATTCTCTTTCTTCCCTTTTAAAAATATGGGCACTATATTTGCCATTTGCCCGGGGCCTCCCCCGATCGCCATGAATTTTCAAAGATAATGGCCAATGGCTCTGCAATCACATCAGCCAACTCCCTCAGCACCCTTGGATGCATTAGATCTGGACCCCATGGACTTGTGCATGTCTGGCTTTTCTAAATAGTCCTTAACCTATTCTTTCACCACTGAGTTGCTGTTCACCTGCTCCCATGCTGTGTAGCCCAGTGCAGCAATCTGGGAGCTGACCTTGTCTGTGAAGACTGAGGCAAAAAAAGCATTGAGTACTTCAGCTTTTTCCACATCATCTGTCACTATGTTGCCTCCCCCATTCAGTAAGGGTCCCACACTTTCCCTGACCACCTTCTTGTTACCCTTCACATCCCTTGTTAGCTGCAACTCCAATTGTGCCTTGGCCTTCCGGATTACACCCCTGCATGCTCTAGCAATATTTTTATACTCCTCCCTAGTTATCTGTCCAAATTTCCACTTCTTGTAAGCTTTCTTTTTGAGTTTAAGCTCACCCAAGATTTCACTGTTAAGCCAAGCTGGTCACCTGCCATATTTGCTATTCTTTCTGCACATCGGAATGGTTTGTTCCTGCACCCTCAATAAGGCTTCTTTAAAATACAGCACAAAGGTGTTTACATGACTTGTCATTGTCCAACATTAAAGTGTATCAAAGAAGTTTCTGGGTTTGGTATACAAAAACTTCAGCCTGCTAAGCACCATGGCAAACACACCATTAAACATTTATTAAAAATAAATAAATAAAAACAGTTAAAACATTTGAGATGTTAATGAATTAGGGTTACATTCTCTTCCCCCCTCTCCCCCCGCCTGTTCCCTTTTCTTTAGCTAGAGAGAGTTTTTAGAAGGAAAAAAACCCACCTTTGTTTGACAGTTTCTTAGATGGCATCAAACATGGCAATAAGTGTTTTTTGGAGAAAAGACAAGGAGTTATTTGAGATGGGCTGGAGTTGATGATGTTGCTGCTGTTAAAATCTGACCCCATTTCATCTTAGGTGGTGTTTGGAATTCAGCTGGAGCCAGTAGAGGTAATGATGTCATCTGGGTCCCTCTCTCTGACCTGGTCAGGACATCTCTCAGGATCAGGGTGACAAAGGCCCATGGTCCCAGGAGCTGGTGGTGGAGGTAGCCATGATGGTGAAGTTCACTCCAGTAACCAATTTTTCTCCCTAAGGTCTCTTTTTTTAAGGACCCACAAAGAGAGTGGTGAGCGGAATAGCCCATCACCTTGTTTTTTTCCCCCACCAATTAGCCCTCGTTTCTGATACACCAATTTTGGTACAACTTATTTCTGATTCCACACTTTTCTTGTTTATCAGACATCATCTTAACACAAACCTTGAGTTATATCAGGAGGACTTTTTGTATGGACTAATTCAGTCCGTGTCCCTTCACACTTCCCTGTAGACGTGCCCTTCGTTGCTCGTTCCACAAATTCATGGGAGACCACTCTTTCGAACACCAGTGCCCTTTTATTTCCTTGTATTTTCCCACCACCACATATATGCAGCTTTATACAGTTCACTATCAGGCAGGTAGCCCCTTGGGGAACAGCTTGCTCTTACAGCTAGCTGGGAGCAACAGGCCCTCACTCCTCACTTTCCTGTTCCTCCCCTCCTACTTCCTTCCTGCTAGCTTTATAGGCCTTCCCCCATCAAGCTCCCAGGTGTTTCTCTTTTAGGGCTTTAATCAGCCACAGCCTGCCAGCTCCAATCATTTTCCCTAACTGGGAGCTGAGCTAGCAGGCTCTGAGCTAACAGGGGCTGAGTCAGTGCCTTTTGGCCAGCACCCTGTTACATTCCAACATCCTTTGCACGCCGCCCGACACGCTCCAGGGGCGGGGGGGGGGCAGACACCTGCTCTAAGCCGAGTGGCACAGTAAGGGGGCCGGGGAGTTGGAGAAGGGAGGGAGTTGGGGGACAGGGAGTGGGGGAGGGGGTTGGATGGGTCGGGAGTTCTGGGGGGGGCGGGCAGGGGGGGGGAGTGGGGGGGGGGGGGCAGGGCGGGGCTAGAGCAGGGCTCCCCCCAATCCTCTTTTTTGATTGTGGAAATATGGTAACCCTACAGAAGTAGTTTTATTTTGTTGCTGGGAGAGCTCTCTCCCGGCGATAGTGGCCATACAGTGCATCATACAACGGGGCGGTTGCAGCAGCACAGCCGCACTGTTGTAAGATGTGCAGTGTAGACATAGCCTAAGAGTTTGCCAAAGCAAGAGGAGCTGTTCCAACGACTGTCATGGGTGGTAAGAAGGAACTGAGATAGTGCAAAGCCAGCTGGGCCCCTTATAAGCACATGGCACCAAAGGGCGCTAGAGCTCGCCCACTGGATACCACTGAGGGAAAAATTCGCTGCTGACTGTGCACGCAGCGCATGCGCATCTAACGTGGAATGGACATGAGCAAGCACTCAAAGAAGAGGCCTGAACAACTGAGAGGGAAAGGGATTAGATCCTAGCTGTTTAAAACTATTAACATCTGACAAACAAATGGGAGAAAAGCTCCATGAAATTGAATTAAACACCCCTATCCTTTCAAATGAAAGTGAAGAGACCTCCATCTCTAGTTCTTCCATCTTGCCAAAACTCCTCCACTATTTAGAAATAGTCGGGACTATTTAGAAAAACTGGACAAGCACAAGTCCATGGGGCCGGATGCGCTGCATCTAAGGGCACTAAAGGAGTTGGCGGATGTGATTGCAGAGCCATTGGCCGTTATCTTTGAAAACTCATGGCGATCGGGGGAGGTCCCAGATGACTGGAAAAAGGCTAATGTAGTGCCCATCTTTAAAAGAAGGGAAGGAGGAGGATCCGGGGAACTACAAGCCAGTCAGCCTCACCTCAGTCCCTGGAAAAATCATGGAGCAGGTCCTCAAGGAATCAATTCTGAAGCACTTAGAGGAGAGGAAAGTGATCAGGAACAGTCAGCATGGATTCACCAAGGGCAAGTCATGCCTGACTAACCTAATTGCCGTCTATGAGGAGATAACTGGGTCTGTGGATGAGGGGAAAGCAGTGGATGTGTTATTCCTTGACTTTAGCAAAGCTTTTGATACAGTCTCCCACAGTATTCTTGCCAGCAAGTTAAAGAAGTATAGGCTGGATGAATGGACTATAAGGTGGATAGAAAGCTGGTTAGATCGTCGGGCTCAACGGGTAGTGATCAACGGCTCCATGTCTAGTTGGCAGCCGGTTTCAAGTGGAGTGCCCCAGGGGTTGGTCCTGGGGCTGGTTTTGTTCAATATCTTCATTAATTATCTGGAGGATGGCGTGGACTGCACTCTCAGCAAGTTTGCAGATGACACTAAACTGGGAGGAGTGGTAGATATGCTGGAGGGTAGGGACAGGATACAGAGGGACCTAGACAAATTAGAGGATTGGGCCAAAAGAAACCTGATGAGGTTCAACAAGGACAAGTGCAGAGTCCTGCACTTAGGACAGAAGAATCCCATGCACTGTTACAGACTAGGGACCGAATGGCTAGGAAGCAGTTCTGCAGAAAAGGACGTAGGGGTTACAGTGGACGAGAAGCTGGATATGAGTCAACAGTGTGCCCTTGTTGCCAAGAAGGCTAACGGCTTTCTGGGCTGTATAAGTAGGGACATTGCCAGCAGATCGAGGGACGTGATCGTTCCCCTCTATTTGACATTGGTGAGGCCTCATCTGGAGTACTGTGTCCAGTTTTGGGCCCCATACTACAAGAAGGATGTGGAAAAATTGTAAAGAGTCCAGCGAAGGGCAAAAAAAATGATTAGGGGGCTGGAGCACATGACTTATGAGGAGAGGCTGAGGGAACTGGGATTGTTTAGTCTGCAGAAGAGAAAAATGAGGGGGGATTTGATAGCTGCTTTCAACTACCTGAAAGGGGGTTCCAAAGAGGATGGATCTAGACTGTTCTCAGTGGTACCAGATGACAGAACAAGGAGTAATGGTCTCAAGTTGCAGTTGGGGAGGTTTAGGTTGGATATTAGGAAAAACTTTTTCACTAGGAGGGTGGTGAAGCACTGGAATGGCTTACCTAGGGAGGTGGTAGAATCTCCTTCCTTAGAGGTTTTTAAGGTCAGGCTTGACAAAGCCCTGGCTGGGATGATTTAGTTGGGAATTGGTCCTGCTTTGAGCAGGGGGTTGGACTAGATGACCTCCTGAGGTCCCTTCCAACCCTGATATTCTATGATTCTATGAAGAGAGCACATGCCACTCCTGATGGGTAAAAAAAAAGCAGAAAAACACATTTAAAAAAACAATAAGGAAAAGGCAATAAGAGACAAAAGCTTTTTTCTTTTGTAAGAAAAACAAACCATCTAAAAGCCTCACTAAAGTGACACCTCCAAAAGTGATTAGTAATTTTTTTTGGGGGGGGGGGGGGGGGCTCAGTTTTTAGGTACCCAAAACTGAGATATCTTAAAGTAGCTTGATTTTCAGAAATTACTGAGCATCTAAATTCACATCCTTTTAACGCGTTTCAAGTTGTGTACCCAAAATCACTTGTCATTTCTTAAAATTTAGGCCACTGGTGCTTTCAGAGCTTTAGATAGAAGCCTTTACTTTTGATTCATGCTAGTTAGTATCTGATGACAATCTCAGAACACTTTATAATTCCAGCAATAGGCAGAGAAACTCATAAAAATACAGCAAGAATGCACTTTCTTTACTAATCCAGTATACAGCCAAGATGGATTTTTTCACAATCACTGCACAGTAGGCTGTACATTGACAGGATTCCCAAATCTACCAATATTCTGCAATACTTTGTTCTCTCACACATGCTTATTACTTAACTCCTTGCCCCAAGATCTAACCTGCATTTACTTTAACTACACTGAACTTCTTTGGCCCACATACTAGTTTTTCAATGTTCCTCTATCACATCGTTGCTCATTATTTACTGTTCCTGCCAATTTATTGTTTGCAAACTTAATTTCTTATTTCTACATCACCTGTATTTTAGATTATCTAATTAAAGACACACAAAAATATGTTGTACAATAAACTTTATTAGCTGTTCTCCTCTTTCTGACAAATGGAATGAATAATGTTAGTTCTATATTTTGCAGAAATGTATTTATAATTGCTCAGATCAGAGGCCTGTGTCTCTCCAGTGCAGAGCCACCATGGAAGATATGACACAGATGCAGTCTGAGATGTACATAAAAACTGACCGTTGACTCTGAAATCTCCCATTGGTTAAAACATGCACATCACATGGAAAAGAAAAAACCCCAAAACCAAACATCTGAAATTGTTTGTAGAAAAGAGGAGAACTTGCCCATATTTTTTTCTTTTAGCTAATATCCCCCAGATGTTTTACCCAGCCACCATACCGCATTTCATTTCACATGATTAAGGAAGATAAATTCTAATTTGTATTTATTCTCAAAACAAAAACAAAAAAAGAAAAGTTAGGAGTAGGTGGGAAAAGAAAAATATATATATTTTATATATATGTGTGCGCAACTATGTAAAGAAAATAATTCCCATAGTTACAGAGTTTATAGTTAAAGAACATTTTATAACAAAATAGGCAATTATTGTGGGTAAAATATTCATTAAAATCTGACACCTCTAAGGAGACACACAGTTTTAAACTACAAATCTGACTCTCTTTTTATCGCCTTAATGATCATCCATCACTGCAAGTGTTTTCTGTTTTGCTGCCAATGAAAATTTGCTATTCATTTGTAAAATACAAGCTTCCCTAGCACCTAAACATGTTTTCGACTCAGAAAAGAGTGATGACCATAATCCATAAACAACTTTTGTAAGACACTGTAAATAGTGTTGCATGAGTAAGATTAAAAACATTAAATATCTTTATCCCTAGCAACTGTATATGCAAAAAATGAATAAAAATAGACTATAAGAATATCATTATGAAATTTTGAAAATGAATATCCCTTGTGAATTAATGGAAGTTAATGAATACATTAATTTGGAAATTAAAAAAAAGTTACATTAATTGTTTATAAAGAAAAATATTTGCTGCGACAACAGAAAGTCAACCCACAAACTAAAACTTGAAATTAAATGCTTGGCCAACCCATGCTATTATAATTAAGTGTGCAAAGTTGCTCACGATTTACATCATTGGGTAAGATGACTTTTCTTTCATATGCTATGAAATTTTAAAAGAATGTATATAAATCTTTTCTGAAAATCTCTGAAACTTACTTTCCCTTAAACATTAAGGAATTTTACCATATAATTCCCCAACCCTACCTTAATAGCTGGTCAGGCCATTCGACCTTCATGTTTGAAAAATGTCAAATGAACACTACCACAGAATACTACAAATTATCCAAACTAAGAGAGACACCAAATGTAAAAAATTTTGGGAACTGCAGAATGTGATGTTTAGTGTGTGACCCACACTGGAAAGAGCTAGAGGCAGGCTCCACTGAAAAGGGTTACAAGTTGTCAATGAGTAGGTAATGTCAGTTAGAAAATGAAAACCAAAAATCTTTCAATTTTCATAATTTTTCCTTTGCTGGTACCCAGATGTAAGGCCCAGACTGTTCTTCTATGATCTGCTTCACCTGGTTGTATATCTCTTCCAGTGTGTCTCCTTGGACAATAGCTGCAAAACATAGTATTACAGTCAGCAAGCGTTTTTTTACTAACTTTCACCTTGTGTGCAGAAATTCTCAGCCCCCTTCCCAAGGTGGGGATTTAACCAGATTGGAGAAGGAACAGACAACATTGGGATCGTGGTTTATTGTGAGCTAAAGGTGCATGACTGTCCGGGGGTGTAGGGCTTCCCCAAGGCCTTTGCACTGGCCAGTGTACAGAGTATAGAGTCCTGGGGTCAGGAAGGAATTTTCCCACACTGTAGACTGGCATGTGCAGCTGTTTTTTGTTGTTGTTGTTGCCATCCTCAGATACCTCCAAGGGTTGGTTAGGGGTGATTTGTTATTTTTCTGGTTTTCTTTTTTTGTTTTCTTCTAGACCCAACTTTTGTGCAGGTATCCAGGACAGGAGGGTAAAACAGCAGGGCTAGTTAATAATCCTAATCCAGACAAATAAATCATTGAGACTTGTAGCAAGTGAAATGGTGGTGTGGGCTTCCATGTAATGTAGATTGAGGAACTGGTCATCTGGATCACGAACCAGAACATGAAAAATAGGTCATCTGGCGGATTCTGGTTGCTAGCAGTGTCCATGATTTGGGATGAAAGGAAGGGGCTAACATATGCATTTCTCTAATCCTCTACATCTGATGCTTGCTTTAAAAACAGTTAATAAAGTTCCAGTCTACACTCAGACCATACAGATTGTATATATTATCAATGAGGCTAGAGAAGCACTATAAATGAACGGAGGTGGGTGTGTTCTGACCCAAATCAGATTAAAGTATGGTCTGATTTGATTCAGGACTAGGGTTCTTGCAACGCTTTGGATCCAAATGACAGAAATCTTGATTGCAGCTTCATCTTAACTGGGGTCTTCACCTCCAGGCTGAGAACCTACTTAATAGAGTTCAACAGGAAAAAATGTATAATGCTGCTGTTTGGGCCAGGACACTGTATTCCTGTGTTTGTGTTAATATACACAACACTAGTACTATTACTGAACCCTCATTACATGTTAATAATTGCCTCTTATTCCGCTTCCTAACTCCTAAAACATTGTAAATCTTTGACAGCATTTTACTTTACATTCAATGGTAACGAAGCTTCCTTAATGGCTGCTCTAATTCAATTTACCTGTCAAACCTCTTAGAAGATTCTTATTCATTTTACAATTAGAAATGTATGCCTTCTTTGTAAGCACACATACACGCATTCTACATCATACCACTACCAAACACAAAAATATATTAATCCTTATTTCTGTTACTTGGCAATTTTTTTTTATCAATAGTCACTATTCAGAGCATCCCCTGTCGATATGATGTTATAGGAACCATAGTAGTTTAAAATTCTGATACTTGGATGATCATGTACACTATACATTGTACACACTAGGTAGTATAAATTAGATAAAGGTGAATTACAGGAGCCTCTACTAGCTACCGGTATAATTATCAATACTGCAATAGTGCCCAAAAGTACCAATCAGAATCTATTATGCTAGGCAATGAACAAATGCATAGGAATACATGGTCCCACCCCAAAGAGTGGTATTACACATTCTTTCTGATGATGTCTGTTACGTGAGTTCTCAATCTAGGGGTTCAGACATAGTACACAGTTATAGAAAAGACTCACTAGATTATGAATCCCTCCCTCAGCCAATGTGGGAGGTTGGATTCTATTTTTAGGTTGTTTAACACCACTTTCTATTACAAAAGATTCTTGGGATTTTTTTTTTGAGAAATTCTAAAATCTCCACCATTTGCAGCAGGTCTTTGATATCTGGCAAGGGGAAAGCCCTCAGGCTAGAGAAGTACCTTTCTTTGCTCCATGAAATTCCATTCAGGGTTAGCTGAGTGTTTGACCAACATGGCAAACTAATAACTGAACACATACATTCTAAAAAGCCAGGCCCGCACCACTGCCAAAGCAGCAGCTCCTACACTCCTGCATCCTGGCACATGGCACCAGTGTTTCATCCTTCACCTCTGAGGGCAGCACATGGGGGCAGGGCGGCAGCAAGAGTTCACCTAAATCCCAGGGGGAAGGTGGGAAACAGTCAGACTGGGCCTCCCTCATAAACCTCCAGCATCCCATCTACTGACCAGGAGTTACTGAATTTAAACATTTTAAAATCTGCAAGATTGGATAACTTGCTCCCATGAATATTAAAAGAATTGACAGAGGAATTCTCTGAATGATTAATGTTGATTTTTAACAAATCTTGGAACAATGGGAAGATACAAAGGACTGGAAAAAAGCTCTAATGTTCTGCAGCCCCTAGGTGTGAGCTGGAATTGGGGGGTCTTGCTCCCCTATGTGTGAGGCAGGCTCTGGGTGGGGGGCCCTACCCCTCTAAATGGGAGCCAGGATTGGTGGAAGGGTGGGAACTGAACTATGATCTCCCACATCCCAGACAAGTGTGCTAACCACTAGGCTAAACGTTATAAGATGGGTTGTGGTGGCAGCAGCAGCACCACCATTTCCATCTCCTTCTCCATTTTAAATGGGATCCAGTCCAGTAGGTGGCCTCTGAGCATGCCCACTGGATTAGGCCCTGCATGTGATCCAGGTGGCTGAATGCCTATCTTTCCCTGGTTTCTGAATCATTCTGGGGCTTAGGCGGGAGAAAGGTGTCTGTGTAGAGGGAGGCAGCAGAGACAGAAAAATAGGCACCTAGGGGAACTTTTACCCTGAAAATTTAGGTGCCGAGTGAATTTAGGAGCCTACTGAGTTCAGCAAAGGAGTTTTGTGGATTGCAATGGAGCCAAAACTGGGACTTAGGCACCTAAGTATCTTTATGGATCTGGACCTAAATGACTTGCCCAAGATCACATAAGAATTCCGTGGTAGAGCAAGGACTTGAACTGTCTCCCAAGCCCCAGATCCTAACCACTGGACCATCCTTCCTCTCATGGCCACATCCCTCCCTTCAAAATATGTCCCCACTGTCTCCATGCTAGTCCCTGCACTGTTCCTGCATCTTCTCCCCAGCTCCTCAACATGTTGGTCCTTTGCTGCAGCTTGCCTCTCTATAGGGAGGATTGTTGAGAAGAGGCAATCAGGCTGTGCTGGACAGGTAGACAGGAGACAAGGCAGAGGCAGTGAAGAGCCCAACATGCAGCCAGTGTGTTTTGTGGCCAGGGCAATCATTGCCAAAGAGCCCCAGGTGTTGAAGGAGAAGAGCTGGGCTATTGCAGATGGGAGTGCTGAGAATTTTTTTTTTTAAAACCAAGGGAATTAAACGTCCCAAAACTTTAAAGTTGTCCAGTGCTGCCTTGTGCCCTTTTAGAATGTGGAGAGTGGCTAAACATATACCTCTGAAAACTAGGAAAGAGTTAAGGTCATACAAATTTAAAACTTCTGAAAACTAGGAATACAGAGTTAAGATACATGCCAACTTAACCTCTTTGAGTGATGCCCCAGCTCAGCTATAACACACATGCTAGCATTCTGTGTTTTCAGATAGTGCAGAGCACTCACGGAATAGGGCACATGATCACTGTAGGGCAGTGTCTAACACTTTCTCTTTACTGACACAAAACTTTTGACTTACGTTTAGGTAAGCTGTACTGAACAGAAGCTATCTACTCTTGACTTAGGCTCAAATAGAACCTACTCCATAGAAACAACCCCCACTTGCTAAATTTTACAACCCCTTAATTCCCTTTTACCAAGCCCCCTTCATCCTTATACACAGGATTCCATTTAACACTAAACTTTCATTAAATCCACAGACCACTCTCATATCCCACCTCACTGCTGATAATCCCTATAGCAAGAAGACCCCTGTGCACTGCTACTGACACAACCTAGAGAACTAGGCAGTGAAATGAGGCATAATGGATCCCTCAAGGTACACATGCCGCAATTTTTTTTGATCACACACAGGGGAGGGGACATGGAGAAGGGCAAGGCTGCCCCAGACCACCTCATGTCACAATCACAGCTCTGCCAAGCTGTTCCAGCTAATCCCTCTACCATTCTATACAGCTAAATCTATCAGTGAACATAGCTGGAGTGAATGTAGATAATCTCCAATGGCTAGTGCCAGCTCCAGGGGGGCAGAGTTAGGGCTGTCTTAGTGTGTAACTTAACTCTGTATTTCCTTGTTCTCAGAAGTTTAAGTTTGCATTACTGTAACTCTTAATTTCCTGGTTTTCAGAGGTTTAGCCACCCTTCACATTCTGGAAAGGCATGAGACATAAGTTGGTGACCTTTATGTTAAAAGTTTCCAGGCTTTTAATGTATAAATAAGACTAACGTTTCTAGTTTCAACAGCTAGCAAAAAGCGCAAAGTTCTCATGCTCTAAAGTATAAACTGGCACCAGCTGAAGTAATGAAGAAATTTTGTCTCAACGTTAAACAATGAATTGATACAAATATTTAATAAATAGTTGCAGTGCATTATGATGGTTTAACATGTTCTAAAACATTCATCATAGGCCAGTATTGGAGACAAGATATATAACTGAAGTATATGGGCTAGGTCAGGTGCGACAATTCTTATGCTCCAGACAACACAATTCCACTCTTTGAAGGGAACTGTAATGAGGGATACAAACCTGTGAAATGTTCAGTAAATTCTTGCTCCAGTTTCATGGCTCTCTCAAAGGTCTTCCTGGCTTGCTCCTCTGTTAAACGTTTGTTCATTTCCCTGAGATGAAATACATTATAAAATAATAAGCAGTTACCAAATACTGCTGATTCTTTTGAAATAAGGTTATTAAACTGCCCTCTGAATACAAATCCTAGAAAAAAACTAGCTCCATCCTGTTCCTGAATCTGCAATTTATTAAACTCTTGAAGGGAGACTTAATATAAAGGGAGACAATGGGAGTGCTGTAGACTGGCTTTCCATTTCTTGGAATCTGGAAAAGACACCTAGGTTAACACTGAAACCCACTAAGCAACCTCAATATAAAATTAGAGGTTACCTGCCTGTAACTGAAAGTTCTTCGAGATGCGTGGCCCCTGTCTGTATTCCACATGTGAGTAACGCATTCACACCATGCATCTTCAGTCTGGAAATTCTAACAAGCAATGTCCATTTTGCACATATGTGCAGTAGCTTGCTTCATGCTCCAGACAGAGGCATAAAGCATGATGCCAAAGGTTCAAATGGAGGTCTGGTGAACATTGACAGGACAAGATAGAAGACCCATTGAGGTACAGGCTTGAGAATCGGTGGAAAGGTCCTGATTAGGCCCTTCATTAATCTAACCATTGTAGGGTGAATTAGTGAAAATGGAGCATCTGTCTACTGGAGGAAGAAAGGCACTGACTGTTTCAAGATGGACCTGTAGTGAGCTAATGAAGAGACCCGAGTTTTTTAATAACAGGAGATAATCTAAAATGACTGGATATCAGCAGAGTTTGAGGAAGACTGATTATGTTGAGTCCAAGTAGAAAAATGTTTCCATTTAGGTTGGTAGCAGCTCTTAGTTCAAGCCCTTTTTTAACTTGGCTTCCTATGAACTCAGTTCGACTCCAGGCTTCGTCACTCAGGTATTTTTATTTGGCATACAGCAGTGCTATGCTGAATTGATCAGACTCAAACGCAGGGGGGGATGGATGCAGGGTACATCACAGCTCCAAAGTTACACAGAAACCCTCTCCTTTTATATACATTATATTTCTTATTGGATTTACTATACACTGCATTACCCATTTTTGGATTGGATTGGTTACTTTGCAGGAACCAATTCCTGTGCAGCATGCACAGTCCATACTTCAACTTCCTTTTTACCTCATCTTTACATTCCTAATGTATTTTGTCCCTTGTTATCGAGTTCATAGTAAATAGTTCCTTGGGTGTTCTCCCTCTTATCTTAGTTGGCTCAGACATTTTGTCTTCTTAACCTAGTGACCTATCTTATTTAGCACAAACATTTTGTTTTCAGCCTGATGATTCATTTACATCCCTAATTCTATCTTCAAAAAAATGAGGCCACTCTCTATGTGTTAATTACTCACATCGGGCCAGGCCTCAGCTACATTCCTCTCCTTCTGTCTTTCTTTTTATATTAGCATTTGTTTTATTTGTATTATATATATATATATTTTAAAGCTTATTACCCAGCAGCACATTTCCAAGGACCACTGTGGCAGCTATTATTTGAACCACCATTAATATTAAGCTTAAAGTACAAAGCAGGAGGTGCAAACTCCCCTCCTCTGGAACAGCCCACCACAGTGTTTTCACTGCCTGAACAATATTATTTCCAATTGCTTGTTGTGACGAACTGGAACTGTTCTTAAAGTGGTCTGTGAATGCTGACAGGGGAGTGTGGTTAGGACGGTCTGCATTGGGGGATGGGAGACTGACCAAGGGAGAATACCTGAGCATGTAACATGAGAACCCAGGAGGGGGCTGGGGCCAGGTGACACCTTTGCCCGGGAAACTGAACAAAGGCTGTGGGAGGGGTCGCTGAAGGCAGAGTCTCGGAAGCGGGCTAGTGACCATGGCTGGGAGGCAGACGGGGCTCTGACCTCCCAGGGGGGCTAGGGTGCCCGGGGACCCCAAGCTGGACCTAACTGAGGGGGGTCCTGTTGTCTGTGCCTGCAAGACCTGTCTTGGACTGTATTCCTGTCGTCTAAATAAACCTTCTGCTTTACTGGCTGGCTGAGAGTCATGGTGAATCGCAGGAAGCCGGGGGTGCAGGGCCCTGAGTCCCCCCATACTCCGTGACACTTGGCTATTAGTTGGGCAATAGGCACCAATTGCTCGAGTTTCCTTTGCACCAAATTAGTGGTTGTAGTAGGAAGAGGGCCTGAAACATAAACTTATGTATCAGAGGCCTGAGGTCTGGGCTAAAGTAGTCAAAATTTTGCTGATATAAAGCAAAGTTAAGTTGTGAGCAAGAGGCAGGCCCTGCTCACAGAATCTGGCAAGAAAAGGGCTGATATTGCAGAAACACACATTCCTAAGTAGTGCTAGGCACAAGAATATATACGCAAACATATTCCAGAAAGGTGGTACCAGAACACCTTGATACCAAACACATTCCCCAAAGATAATAGGAACATGCTGACCCATCTTAAGGATAAGGTCAGGATGACAGCATGATGAATAGAGATGATTTGATCGAACCAACAAGTACAAGGCAATGGGTGGCGCCCTAATATGTCAGAGGGCAGTGCCCTGATACTTCAGAGGGTGGCACCCTAATACGCCAGAGGCAATACGTAACTTGTTTGTATTGGTGTATAAAGATGTATCTCAGAGGGAGGGTCTTTGGCCAGCTGAGCGGGAAATGGAAAGTCCCGCCATTCATTGAGCTGCATCCATTGTCACAGGCATACATGTGCTAGTATAACTGTAGACATTGATCCACGGAGATAGGACCATGCTTCGTTGACAATAAACCTGGCTAGCTGCCTTCGAGCCTTAATGGATCTTCTGGTCATTGGACGGTTTGCTTGATGTCTGCTCTGCCAACTGTCTGCGCAGAGCTGGGACGGCATACGGAGGGAACATACACATATCCAAACATCTGACGACAGTGGTGCTAATGAACAAGGGAAGTACAAGTGAAGAGATTGGTCACCAGTGACTCCCAGTCACGTTCTCCTTCATCTGCACAGTAGGCCATTGGGCATGGATCCCCACCTGAGCCAGAGAAGTGAGGTTTAGACAAAACCCATCCAGCCTCCCCACGCACGGTGCTGTCCCCACTGAAAAGTTGTGGTATCCCAGAGTACATACTGTGTACCAGAGCCGTACCACCTCCTTCACTCTCTTGTTAATGACTAGTCAGGTGCAATCTCCCTCGCTTGTAGTCAGGCTTATTTAGGCTGACCACTCAAAGAACCATCTGTGCCTGATTCATTTACAGCAGGCTGTGTTTATTTCATCTCCTTATGTTGCCATTTGTATACTGCAATAGTGCTGTTTATAGGTCCCATTATCTACTGTACACTGTTAACATGTACTAATTCTTTAGGATTCCCTGTCCATCTAGGAACAGCAATTATAATTGGCACACGTGAATTACTAATTTTATGTGGTGCCCAAGGTCAAGGACCTTTTAGCCTTGCAAATTTTCTTTCCCAATATTATGAATTTCTTTTTCTACTAGTGTGGTCCAGATAAGTTTGCTGTTTAACAACCTTGATTACTCCCCTTGCTTTATCTTTTCTATTTCTTGCATTAAATGCATAACAAGCAGCAGACCCATGCCCCCTCAACCCTGCTGGGCATGCTCCAACTGCTGCTGCAGTATAAAAGGGAGCAGCCTAGCTCAATCTGGGCTGACTGCCGAGGAGGAAGGACGCACCTCGCTAGCTCCAGCTGAGGAGCAGCCAGGTACCCAGACTGAGGGAGCAGGAGATGCTGAGGCCCAGGCACCCGTGGATGCTCTAGGGAGATTGCAGCTGGCACCTGAGGCACCCTGAGACCCCTGACTTCAGCTACAGGAGTCACAGTAGGAAGTAGCCCAGGAGGGACTAGCCAGTGTCCCGGTAACAGTCAGTGTGTTGCGGGTGGATTCCCTGCCGAGTTAGTGGCGAACCGCATCGAACTACCAGGGCCCTGGGCTGGGACCTGGTACAGCAGGGAGGGCCTGGGTCCCCCAATGTGGCCGCCCCTTCCTTTTGGGGGGTGTCCCATCAAATCCCGCTGCTATGGACTCTGGCCATTGGGCCACGCTTCCCTGCCACCAAGGGACGTCCTATCAACTTTGGCCATTAGGCTTTGCTTCTCTGCCATCCAGGGGAGCCCTATTGATTCTGGCCATTAGGTCACGATTCCCTGCAGTTCAGGGGAGCCCTATTGACCCTGGCCAGTAAGCCGCACTCCCCTGGCTCCCCCGGGGCACCCTACTGACTCCAGCCATTAGACCACACTCCCCTGCAGATGAGGGGAGCCCTACTGGTGTCAGCCATTGGACCACGCAGCCCTGAAGCTGAGTCCAGCCATATTGACTTAACCACGGGGCTATCACAACCTCACCCCCCGTTCCATGTGACAGGGGCAGGAGGTACTGGCCCCACAACAGAGACCCAAACTCCAGTGCCTCCCACGAGAGGTTGCCACAGTGTCCCTTCTGGCTTTATACTTTTCGTGGAGCACTTTTTAGAAAACATTTTATGGTAGATCACCATATTTGGTATCAGGCAGGAATTTTCCCCTGGGTCAGATTGGCAGAGACCCTGGGGGTTTTTCACCTTCCTCTGCAGCACGGAGCACAGGTCACTTGCAGGTTTAAACTAGTGTAAATGGTGGATTCTCTGTAACTTGTCTTTAAATCATGATTTGAGCATTTCAGTAACTCAGCCAGAGATTATTGGTCTATTACAGGCATGGGTGGGTGAGGTTCTGTGGCCTGCAATGTGCAGGAGGTCAGACTACATGATCATGATGGTCCCGTCTGACCTTAAAATTATGAGTTTGGAGGTGCTTACTTTGGGCTGGGGTAGGGTGTGAAAAATTGTTCTTCTTAACCGCTGAGGATAGGACAAGATTAAATGGGCTTAAATTGCAACAAGGGAGGTTTAGATTGGACATCAGGAAAAAGTTCCTGACTGTCAGGGTGGTTAAGCACAGGAATAAATTGCCTAGGGAAGTTGTGGAAGCTCCATCATTGGAGATTTTTAAGAGCAGGTTAGACAAACACCTGTCAGGGATGGTCTAGATAATACTTAGTCCTGCCATGA